GTGTGTAAAAGCGTCTGTGTGTCAAAGCGTCTGTGTGTAAAAGTGTTTCTGTGTAAAAGTGCTTGTGTGTAAAAGTGTTTGTGTGTAAAAGCGTCTGTGTGTAAAAGCTCTGTGTGTAAAAGCGTCTGTGTGTAAAAGCGTCTGTGTGTAAAAGCGTCTGTGTGTAAAAGCATCTGTCTGTAAAAGCGTTTGTGTGTAAAAGCGTCTGTGTGTAAAAGCGTCTGTGTCTAAAAACATCTGTGTGTAAAAGCGTCTGTGTGTAAAAGCGTCTGTGTGTAAAAGCGTCTGTGTGTAAAAGTCTCTTGTGTAAAAGTGTTTGTGTGTCAAAGCGTCTGTGTGTAAAAGCGTCTGTGTGTAAAAGTGTTTGTGTGTAAAAGTGTTTGTGTGTAAAAGCGTTTCTGTGTAAAAGCGTCTGTGTGCAAAAGCGTCTGTGTGCAAAAGCGTGTGTGTGTAAAAGCCTCTGTGTGTAAAAGCGTCTGTGTGTAAAAGCGTCTGTGTGTAAAAGCGTCTGTGTGTAAAAGCGTCTGTGTGTAAAAGCGTCTGTGTGTAAAAGCGTCTGTGTGTAAAAGCGTCTGTGTGTAAAAGGCTCTGTGTGTAAAAGCGTCTCTGTGTGTAAAAGCGTCTGTGTGTAAAAGCCTCTGTGTGTAAAAGCGTCTGTGTGTCCAAGCGTCTGTGTGTAAAAGCGTTTGTGTGTAAAAGTGTCTGTGTGTAAAAGCGTCTGTGTGTAAAAGCGTCTGTGTGTAAAAGCGTCTGTGTGTAAAAGCCTCTGTGTGTAAAAGTTTTTGTGTGTCAAAGCGTCTGTGTGTAAAAGCGTCTGTGTGTAAAAGTGTCTGTGTGTAAAAGCGGTCTGTGTGTAAAAGCGTCTGTGTGTAAAAGCGTCTGTGTGTAAAAGCCTGTGTGTGCAAAAGCGTTTGTGTGCAAAAGCGTGTGTGTGTAAAAGCGTCTGTGTGTAAAAGCTTCTGTGTGTAAAAGCCTCTGTGTGTAAAAGCGTCTGTGTGCAAGAGCAACTGTGTGTAAAAGTCTCTGTGTGTAAAAGCGTCTGTGTGTAAAAGCGTCTGTGTGCAAAAGCTTGTGTGTGTAAAAGCCTCTGTGTGTAAAAGCGTCTGTGTGTAAAAGCGTCTGTGTGTAAAAGCGTCTGTGTGTAAAAGCGTCTGTGTGTCAAAGCGTCTGTGTGTAAAAGCGTCTGTGTGTAAAAGCCTCTGTGTGTAAAAGCGTCTGTGTGTCAAAGCGTCTGTGTGTAAAAGCATCTGTGTGTCAAAGCGTCTGTGCGTAAAAGCATCTGTGTGTAAAAGTGTCTGTGTGTAAAAGGTCTGTGTGTAAAAGCTTCTGTGTGTAAAAGCCTCTGTGTGTAAAAGCGTCTGTGTGTCAAAGCGTCTGTGTGTAAAAGCATCTGTGTGTCAAAGCGTCTGTGCGTAAAAGCATCTGTGTGTAAAAGCGTCTGTGTGTAAAAACGTCTGTGTGTAAAAGTGTTTGTGTGTAAAAGTGTTTGTGTGTAAAAGTGTTTCTGTGTAAAAGCGTCTGTGTGCAAAAGCGTCTGTGTGCAAAAGCTTGTGTGTGTAAAAGCCTCTGTGTGTAAAAGCGTCTGTGTGTAAAAGCGTCTGTGTGTAGAAGCGTCTGTGTGTAAAAGCGTCTGTGTGTAAAAGCTTCTGTGTGTAAAAGCCTCTGTGTGTAAACGGGTCTGTGTGTCAAAGCGTCTGTGTGTAAAAGCGTCTGTGTGTAAAAGCGTCTGTGTGTAAAAGCGTCTGTGTGTAAAAGCGTCTGTGTGTAAAAGAGCCTGTGTGTAAAAAGCGTCTGTGTGTAAAAGCGTCTGTGTGTAAAAGCGTCTGTGTGTAAAAGCGTCTGTGTGTAAAAGCGTCTGTGTGTAAAAGTGTTTGTGTGTAACAGCTTCTGTGTGTCAAAGCGTCTGTGTATGTAAAAGTCTCTGTGTGTAAAAGTGTTTGGGTGTAAAAGTCTCTGTATGCAAAATCGTCTGTGTGTAAAAGCGTCTGTGTGTAAAAGTCTCTGTGTGCAAAAGCGTCTGTCTGTAAAAAGTTCTGTGTATGAAAAACTTTACAAAAATACGATGCAAACTATTGTCTTGTACTAGTCATATATTGTCTTGATACTACTCTTCTCGTCTGCCTATAATACATCTTTATCATATTATCTTGTAATATAGTGTCTCCATACTAACAACAGAAGACTCTGCTCCTCTACGCTCTCGGGCCATCCGTCGTCTAGTTTCTTGGGATTGTGGTTTCACATGATTCCGAGATTTCACAAGATTATCACGGGATTCAAAAAAGGACAGTTCACCATGAGTCACTACTATCATGTGGCGTTTTGGCCCACTCGATTCGTAGCTCCCCATTGGGCTCCCCATAGCTCTTGTTGGGAAAATATATGAAAATATGTAACGGTTGGTTGCGACCCGAACCGCGAACCCCTCCGTTCACCGAAATTGGAGTGTGATAAATATTGAAACATAGATAGGTACATCAAGTCAGTGAGCACCGAAATTGGATAATTACAAATGAGTACCCTATGTCACTCATAAAGAAGGTGAACTTGGCCATGATGTGCACAGAACATACTAAACATGGTCATCATACAACATACTCAACATGGTCATCAAAACTTTGAATTTCCGACCCAACATCAGGTTTGTTTACCATTCATGCTATGTGTTTAAAAGTACACCTCAATGTTTCTATGTGTTGATATCCCAAACCAAACATATTGGCATAAAGAAATCCACCTTCTCCCCAGCAAAAACCGTCCCGTCATCCAATCCCTGATGTTGTTTTCCATCATCCCAATCTTTGGCGGGTGAAATCCCTATCTTCGGCTCGTGGAAAACCTGGTAAATTAAACCTGGTAAACCTCCCGTTTTCGATGGTCAAGATATGTCAAGATTCCCGTTTGGCCATCTCATCTTTTCATGGACAATATGAATATCCCCCCATCTTTGGATATTTTTTCTTGATGCTAAAAGAAACACAGGTCTTGCTCCATAATCCCAAATGTGCGCTGGTGATCAAACTCTCCATGTTTTTTGATGGTGAAATCCACATCTTCTCTGGTGAAATCCGATCAATTGATGGTACAAGAAAAACAAGATGTGTTCCATTGTTTGATGGTAAAATCCCAGACGTTGGTTGCCTGCAATTCCTGTTTTGGTGCTTAAAACCACAGTGTTTTTCCATCAACATGTTTGTTCATGAAATCCCCATCTTAGCTGTTGAAATATGTTGAAACCACATGTTGTTCTTGATAAAATCGTCACATCTTCATCATTTTGGTTGCTTTCATATGCTTTGATGCTATTTTGGTTGCTGAAATCCCTAGCTTTGATGCTTAAATTGCTTAAAACCTCTCTACAAATCCACCGTTTGCTTCCACCGTTTTCTTCCACACGTGTTGCGTCTCGGCACGGATCTTGAAGACCACCCCGCAGGCGCCCGAGGGCTCGCCATGCAAGGCGAGCTCCTCTGCCAGCGAGGGATCTTGCGTGCAGCTGCTGGGATGCCTGGCGTATCAAACTTTGATGGCTACAATGTGGGGCCCCCTAGATAGTAAATGATAGTAACATGGTTATGATAAATACAAGCTGGTAGAAGTAAGCGATAATGGGGATAATGCCTTATGATATGATAAAATGCTTAAAATAATGGGTACAAGTCGGCCTATAACTCACATAAATATGGTTTATGATACCTATAACTGTAGCTAATGAGGTTTATTTTCACCAACTTATAACTGGGCCCCACATTGTATAAGCCTGATAATTATACCACTTAGAATGGATAAAGATAATTGGATAATGATATACCTTGTCCCACTTTTATGGAGAAATGTAACCAACATATGGGGAAAACTATGGGGATATGTCCGATAAGTTTGGGATATAACAAAAATAATTAGATATATAGACCTGTTATATTCCACATATATTCCACTCGTATGGATAATTATAACCAACATAAAATATGGGGGAACTTTTCTGGGAACTGAGATTCTTGATGGGATATACATCGGTGTAACAAACAGGATGATATGGCATGATAGGATATAATATGATATGTTCATAGGATCCCAGTCATAGATCTGGCTGAATTGTCATCATGCACCATTGTGAAAATGTTGGCGACTCTCACCGACCCAGTCACCATCACGTATCTTGATGTCATGGTCAGGTGGTTGAAATTGCTGTGGAACACACACCTATTATGCCTTTACACACATTTCTAAAATGTCGAGAATCAACAAAATTGCTACAGAAATAAGGCTAATTCTATATAATTCTGAGAATTCTGAGACTACCGTCACCTCATACCAACAATCGATATGTTGACACACTTCCCACCTTGGAAGACCCAAAAAAAACCCGACTCGCTCGTCGATGCTACCTGGCCTCCACATGACGATGCTACCAGGGCGGTAGCCTCGGTGATTTTCAGGGAAACCACCAAAAAAATGAAGGTATAATATATCCCATAGGATCCATGGTGCTGGTATATATGCTAACATCTGGGGTATATTGATGGTAAATGTTTTCATATATAGCATACATGGATCCTATGGGTATTGATATTAATATGGCAAGTATATTGTGATATATAAAAGAAGCCAGCACTCTTGTTTTTTGTTATTTTTTCGCAGTATGGATGTTGTTGAAAAATGATCAAGATGATTAGTCATATAGCTTTCTGCATCACTATACTATAATTGTGTATGTATTTATATCATTGTAACATTATTATGATTAAGATATGGGATTGACAAATTCCGACTTTACTTGTCTATCTGTTTGGGAGGTGCTATGAGTAGGTACCCCTTTCATCCCCTTTCAACAGGTTTGTCTGAACAGAACAGGGAGAACCCAACAAAATGGTCTTAATATCAGTTGTCCCTATCACACTGGCCTTTGCGAGGTAGTCTACCCCAATGTTCACACACAATAGCTGTGGGGCAGAACCAAGTGAACCGGTCGCCTTGTGCTCACACCAGTGGTGTCTAACTGGATCCACGTTTCGGATCCCATCCAACAAGAATCTATGCGTCCCAGACCCTCCTCCCCTGAACCCAATCAGTGGGTGTCCTGAGAATTTCACAATTCCAAACCACGAGTTCTTCTGGTCATAAATCCCATAGGATCCATGTATGGCATATATGCTAACATTTGGGGTATATTGATGGTAAATGTCACCATATATAGCATACATGGATCCTATGGGAATGTATATTAAAATGTCATGTGTGCATTTCCCTGTCAAACTTTGACACAAGTACAGCGAAAGAAAAACAACTCACTTGGGGGTATCCGTTGGGATGTGCCTCCGCCTGGCCCTCCACCTTTTGAGGCCAGCTGTCGCAGGGAACCTTTTCTTACTGCATCAGTGTCCCAAATTTCGGATGGCTCAAAAGCCAGTTTCCCTCGTCAAATGTTGGTTGGATATTTACTGGTTGGTGGTTTTTCGCCACCCCTCTGAAAAATCATGGAGTTCGTCAGTTGGGATGATTATTCCCAATATATGGAAAGTCATAAAAGCCATGTTCCAAACCACCAACCAGTGATTATTAACCAGTATTAACCATTATTAACCATTATTAACCATTATTAACCATTATTAACCATTATTAACCATTATTAACCATTATTAACCATTATTAACCATTATTAACCATTATTAACCATTATTAACCATTATTAACCATTATTAACCATTATTTAACCATTAACCATTATTAACCATTATTAACCATTATTAACCATTATTAACCATTATCCATTATTAACCATTATTAACCATTATTAAGCATTATTAAGCATTATTAACCATTATTAACCATTATTAACCATTATTAACCATTATTAACCATTATTAACCATTATTAACCATTATTAACCATTATTAACCATTATTAACCATTATTAACCATTATTAACCATTATTAAGCATTATTAACCATCATTACCCCATACTAAATGTTCCAAACCACCAACCAGGATGGTTCGCGCCCGGGCACAGTCCATGCCCATCCGATGGCCCCGCAAGACGTCCCGCAAGGAGGAGCCGGGCACTCGCAAGGCGCGGAAACACACCACCTGCGTTGCAACCCTTTCAGCGAAGTACAGAATCACTGTACGAATCATCTAGAAATAATTATCACATATATTCATATATTCATTCATATTCACCAATATTCCATGACTCCGATGAAAATGGTATGAACCAACTTGCCAAGTATGGGGGGCCCTTGCTGTAGCTAGATGTTCTATCTTGATTTTTACTATAGATCTATGCAGATTTTTTTTTACTATAGATCTACTGATGAAAAGCCAAAGACAAAGAGGATGAGACGTGCACCGTCAACTGAACCACCCCGTGGATCTCGAGATGCTGGAACTCCCACGTCTCCGGAGAAAAACGAAAAGCTTGAAAAAGTGTTTGAGGACTTTATGGATGATCTATCTCTGAGTTCAGATGTCCAAGACAGTCTGGACCTTTTTTCCGATGGTGATCACAAAAAGAAAAAGAAAAAGAAGAAGGACAAGAAAAAAAGATAAGAAGGAGAAACCAAAGAACCTGGAAAACACCAGGAGAAGAAAAAAAAGACCTAGTCATCAAAGATGACAACTGGAAAACACCAGGAGAAGAAAAAAAGACCTAGTCATCAAAGATGACAATCTCTGGCACGCTTCGGTGAAAAAAATAGTAAAGGGAAAGCGGACCCTGTCATCCTGCAAGCTGCTTGGTGATGCTTGGTTTAAATTCCACATTCTTATAATATGTATATACCAACTACCTTGTTGCTGCTACCTGTATAGAAAGCCTTCTATAAGCCTTCTATATTGACCATATTTAGGCAGTATATACCAGGTATATGCCATGTATATATTCATGTTTTTCACCAAAAAAACTGCTCCCCTGGAAATTAGGAACCAGAAAAATCCCCTGAGATAGGTTGGGATCACCATTTCCAAGTATCAGAACTGCAGAAACCAACGAGGGCCAGACCTTGCCCATGGGGGCTCCAGAGTTACATGAAGTGGCTCACTGATTGTCACTAGTCACTAGTCGTCCCAACCAGGAACTGGCCGAATATAGTGATCCGTTGCCAGGTCTGATACTAGATGGGCACATCACATTTTTGCAGAAATGGAACGTGGATTTCGTTCCGTTTTCTCGATCTCTGCCCCACGGGTGGTCACCACCAGTTGCGCCTTTCGCGCAGGCAATGCTTGCAGGGCATTTGAAAGCTCGGCCTCGTGAGGTTTCGGAAAAATCCCAGTTGTGTGCTGCATCAAGGTGGGTAGCCGCCTATGGTAATTCATCAAACGTGGCTGGCTGGAAAATACCCTTTCATAAAGGCTTTCAGTGGGAAAATCATGGAAAATCATCTATGAAGAGGCAGTTTCAATTGTCATGTTTCATTGGAGGGTAGTAGGTGAACACAACCATTATCCCCAAGTGGGATGATGAAGGGGATGCTGGTCAAATTACCTGGACTCTGTGAAAATAAAGCAAGGAAAACAACCTGAAAATAGGGATGCCAACAGGAATAGCAGGTTAAACAAGACCAAACATGTGTTTGTTTGTTAATACGTAGATTCATTTCCCCATACAGGCACGTCCAAAGAGGGGTACCAAGATTCCCGAACAACGAAACTGACAAAAAGTTACGTCAGTCCGCTGTTTTTTCCGGTAGAACAAGAATTTTCCGGTAAATCCGGAAAAGTGTTTCCTGAAAATGTGTGTTTTTCGACCTTTTCCGGTTTGACTGGTAGGTGTATGGTATGCAATTAACTATGTGCAATTCAGATCATGCTCTGCTTGTATATAGATATATGGTGTGGTTTCAAAAACGTACGAATGGACCCACAGAAATTGGTGATTTCCAGTATGTCTGAACCTGTGGGAGACCACTTTCAAAGACCAGGTTCACAGGAAAAGCTGATGATGTTTTACATTCAAATTCGTGGCTACCTCATTTAAAAACATATAATAATGTATGTATGTATATAATGTATATATATAATCTAATATCATAAATGGGGCCACGACCATTATGACAAACCCTTTTTGTGACCATATTTACGCCATTTTTTGACCGTGGCAGATACAAAGTTTGAGTTTTGATTGGGAGTCACTTCAAATCTTATTGGTTGCCATCAATCATATTTCAATATAGAGACTATATCATGATTATATTATTATACTTTAATCCCAATCAAAACCCTTATTTCCATCCCAATTATGTAGATTGGAATTATTGGAATTCACCTCAAAATCTTATGATTATCAATTATAGTTAAATCATCTTTAAATTAGAATTCACTTCAAACCCCTTCCAGTCTCCACCCCCCAAGGCACATGTGCCGCTTGCAGATCGGCCGCACGTTCCCGCACGGCCGGTGCCGGGCTCTGCGAAAACTGGCTGCTGAAGGCACTGCTACACTCACCTCAAGGCCGTCAGAGTCAACATTCGCTACCCTCTGGTTATGTCAAAATAGCTATTGAAAATGGCCATTTATAGTGAGTGTTCCCATTAATAATGGCGATTTTCCATAGTTATGTTAGTTTACCAGAGGCTACTTTTTGTGCATTGAAGCTGCAGAAAATCATAGAATTTGATGGTGCTAACTGTGCTAACCATTGGAAGTGAGATAGATTCACCACGTCCACTGGGCAAAGACACGTGGAGATTCAGGGTATCCGCCACTTTCGGAATCTTTCGGACAGTCTGTGGATGGTAGTTGCGCATGGTAGTGGTGCATGGTCAATGCGCGGCGCCCTTTGCTATCCATGGAAGGCCCAGAAGTCAATTTTCCTGGGGATTGTGTACATATTTCCATAACTTTACTTGCACGCTTTCAACGCCCATCCTATGCTTAGCATAGGATAGGCGTTGGAAACATGAAAGTAGAAGTAGAATGGTCACCATTTCGAGAGTGGTGCCATCTTACTTTTTGGCTGTTGGGCCATGGTCGAAATGTCGTATCCAAGAATTTCACCGCTGGTCTGCAGGTCCAACATTTCAGTCATAGAGTTGATGGGACAGGCTTGAGCCACTTTCCATCAACTATTCTGAACGCACATGAACTCACCCATTCCTTCCATAGTTGATGGTTTGCCAATGGTTTAAGTCACCAAACCCATCTCAATGATTGGCACTTTCTTCTTGCAAATGTTTGAACCATAACACAAGGGTGATCCATGTCGCGTGGGAGCCATCACCCAACCACTAGGGGAATCAGTACCAACAACCATCTCTAGGGAGATGCTTTTGAATTTCCAAGATGTGACATTTACCCGCAGGATCAAGAAACAGAAGATCAAAGTCTACCAACCAGGAACCAGGGGGTTATCTAAGGGGTCAAATATCCCTATGCAGCAATTCACCGCGCCGCTATTAGGGTTTACATATGCAATGTAATCTCCCAGCCTCATTGGAACCTGGAACAATTAACCACACCAGTATATTGTTATTAGGCTTTTACAACGCTTGGGAGATCCCTGTATTCCGAGAAAAAGGACAACTGATTACCGCTGAAGGTCACGCTTTCCGACTCGAAATGACAACTTCCGGGAATGACATTGGTTACCCCTAAAAATAAGACATGTTACAAAACACATCAAAAAACCTGTGTATATATATATATGTATATACATACATACAAAGTAAACACATCATCAACCCTGATTTAGGTCGCAATCTCCTAAGTCCCACATAAGGGGATTGGCACATCTGAAGATTCCATCGAATTCATCCAGTGTAGATAATCAAATACCGGAGTCGCATCCGGGATTCTGCCATCAAACCAAGCTGCTATGAAAGGACACATCTGAGAGGAAGAGATTCAAGGCCACGATGTTGGCTGGAGAAAGTCCTGCTAGGCCGTCCAAGACTTTTGGAAATCCTGCAAACTTCTTGGTACAGGGCAAGTTTCATCATCCATAATGTCAACCCTGAACAAATAGACCCCTGCTCGCAACGCATTTTGAGAGCAGATACATGTGTTTTTTTTTAATGGGTGAGCCCCAAAAAATTGATCAGCGAGGTTTTATCAATTGGGATTGACTTGGATATACTTTTTTCGTGATCGATGCATATAGATACCTTGTTTCCCGGGAGTACAAACCATGGAACCTGGGCTGCAGTTGGGATGATGAAAATGGCTACAACCATGGACAATGTGTATTACTGCATATCATTAATATTGACATATATGCAAACAGAAATTATGTATAAACCATTGGGATTTATGATATAACATGTGTATATAGTAATATGCATATGCATATGCATACATACATATATATATATATATATACATACATACATATATTAAAAACATATTATGTAACCCCAACAAATTGGAATATAACCCCTGTCACCATGGCTTTCTACACCCTTGCAAAGTGGAACTGCACCTCCTTTTCCCGTGGCTGTCCCGTCCTACTTTTCCCTCGGCCGTCAGTCTCAAGGCCATTAACCTGACAGGACAGAAGCCATCGCTCCACCCACGGCTGGTCCATCGTTGCGGCTGAAAAAAGAAGTGTTCGATTTCTCGGTGTTTCACCTGTCAAATTTCAGAACCAGGTCTCGGGTTTTTCGATGTTTTTCGCAGAGTTCGACTGGGTCGCGCTTTCTGCACCCACTGAAGCAATGTTGTCAATAATTAGATGGGTACAAACTAATCCTTTAGTCTTTTGGTGTCAATGGGAGTATCTACGTTCACCAGCTCAGAATTGGTCATTTTTTGCAGGCTATCTTTCAGATTGGCACTAGAAAATGCAGCTGCCAACCCCTTGCTGTATCTTGCTGTGGTGCCTCATTCCATGAGGTCCCTGAAAATCCAGTGGTGCATCATCAGTTTCAAACTGAGTTAGGGCTTCTTTAAGGGGTTGTACATACGTACATACACCATTTTCAGACAAAGCCAAGTCATTTTTTTCGCTCTGGTCAACGTTTACATAACTATGGAAAATCACCCTCTTTCAGAGGTAAATCAACTATTTCAATGGGCCATTTTCAATAGCTATGATTACCAGAGGGTAAGTCCATGATATCCCCGTAAAGTTATCATCAAATCTCTAGGGGAAAGCTGATAAAACTCCCTATTTTCAGGTCCGCATCCAGGTATTTTTGATGGGTACATGGGTATAGCTGGTATGGGGAAAAAACATCCCGAATGGCTTATCGACTTCAGAGTGGAATATGACGTGCAAGTACCATGAAAATCCAGCAATGTCCAACAACTTTCTCATGAAATAATTTGTGTGTTTTCCCATTTTCAGGTCAGGTATACCCTCTGGTCATCAAATCGGGCAACGGAACAAATCCCCGTGTACCCATTTATGGCTTTTGTTCCCCACGTCTTCGAAATTTACATCAATTTTCACATCTCAAAAAGTGGCGTTGCCATCTCCCCGTGGTGCCACATGGGGAAACCCACCCTTTTTGGTCTCCCCTTTTTGTGCCATGCGACTGTGCAGTGGCCAAAGCATTTTCTTCAGCACCTGAGAGCTTAATGGCGTCCAACAGCCTCGGCGGATGGCTGCGCAACAGTTGCAGAGATCTGAAGAGATCTTCGCCAATCCCGCCCCATTTGATCCCAATCCCAGTTATACTCATACATATACATAATTATATATGATATGATATCATATCATAGTATATCAAATAATATTATAGTATTATATTACATTATATTACATTAAATTATAATATATATATATATTATATGTTATATTATATCTTAAATTATATCTTATTTTATATTACATATTATATTACATATGAAATTATATCATATATATTTATGCATAATATTATATTAGTTCATATCATATTATAATTTATAATATCATATCATATATTATATCATATCATATTATATCATATTATCATATCATGTATATTATATCATATTATATATTATATTGTATCATATGATATCATATCATATTATATCATATTATATTATATTATAAATATATATATGTGTGTGTTTTGTAGTTTTTGACTGACCTGTAAAGCCACAAGGGCCCGAAGACTCCGAACTTTCAGGGGCATTTTGAAAGTTGTGCCCTCAACATGTAGATGTGCTCGTGCTCAAAAAATCAGGTGGCATCCTGCCACTTACCCGGCCTGGTGATGTCAACAGTTAGCTATTGAAAATGGCCATTGAATTCGTGGATTTTCACACTAAAAATTGTGATTTTCCATAGTTTTTTGTATGTTTACCAGAGGGTAGCTATGGAGGTGTTTGTCCCAACTATTTAACTTGCAGCCAGTCATCCCACTTTTGGGACAAGGATGACGGTCCGTTGAAAAATGTCGAACCGGCAGCCCAACTGGACCTGCTGTGTCACCTTCAAAACACTGGGCACAAAAGGGACCCTGCCATACCCCGGATAATTTTTATGTGTATAATGTACATACAAGCTAATCATGATCCCTTTTGAAGGCCATAGTGGGGGGTATGCCTCATTTTCACACGCATCCAAATCATATCAAGTTAGTTATATATCCCATTCCAACGCTAAAAAGCGTCCCCATATGTGTTGATTAAATCTACCATCTAGTATCCCAATCTATCTGTGCCCAGCAACTCTTTTGCAGCAACGGCTGCTGGTGTCTTTTCATCCTCATCGACCACGCCAGGGCCAGCGCTGGCGCGAGGCATTGCAATGCCGTGATCCCGTCCAGCGCCCCAAATCATGCGTTGCATCAAGGGGCGCGCTGAGTACAGGTAGGTATTGGTACCTTGAGTTCGTCATATGGGCAATCTGGACATGTATAAATGTGCATATAATATATATATATATACATATACATGCAAACAATATATACATATACCTATATATATAATTATATATGTATATTAGATGTATAATATTGTATAGCTCATATGTATTATGGCTTTGCCTTAAGAAATTGGGCTTTTAATTCAATTCGTTTATAAGAAAATGATGGTAAACCGATGGATTTGGGGAACAAATTGGCACGTTGTTCTCATCTGTTTGGGTTCCATCATGTTAATTGATGAATCAACAAATTGGTAACCATAGCCAGCAACTCGACAAATCATCATTGATTGACATGCTTTGGCTCGGTATGATGCAAAGATCTCTAGAAATATTACATGTGTATGCAGTCAGAAAGACACATGATATGGCCCAGCCAACTTAACCAACTCTAGCCAAATTGCAATACATCCCAGCCAAAAAAAAAATATACCGTTTAAGGGGATATCTTTTTTTTGTCTACTACTCTCTGGCAATCAACAATGGCGAGTCATGTGTCCGTTCAAGCCGCATGTATGGAAAGTATGTCCCATCATCAGCTAGCCATGTTTGAGGATGAGAGGGTAACTACTAAAACCACCATGTACCCTCTTGTAAACTAACATAGCTATTGAAAATGGCCATTTATAATGGATTTTCCCATCAAAAATTGTGATTTCCAATAGCTATGTTAGTTTACCAGAGGGTATCTGATAGTACTCTAACTGAAATCCTCCATATAGTCATGATATGTACACCTACATGTGTACCGAAAAAGATGTCCCATCTATGATTATCTGCGTAGGACTATGTAACCAATGTAACCATCATACTCCGCCATGCTGCCCAAATCCCCAGTCCCAGATGTCCCAGATGTCCCAGATGTCCCAGATGTCCCAGCAACTCGGTGACAGCTGTGGTGGAATGTCTGTGGGCCAACAACCATGCCAAATTTGTGACATCTCCGGCCACAGCAGTTTCGATCCCTCCACTTTTTTCTCCTTGTCCTGTCGGCCGGCATGGGGATCTCTGGCTGATCTCTGGGATATGGTCAAATTTTATATATATATATATGTAATATAGTGTATATGTAGCAACCCCTAAAATGAATTAAAATCATAGAATTCAGTAGTCGATCGTTGTTCTAGCTGGAATTTACTGTTCTTTTTTTGGGTGCTATTACAAGTATATCATACATCTCTATCTTATTCGTGTAAATGAGAACGGGCCTATCTGTTACATTCATACATCTCTATCTATTAGTTTTTTACTGGTCTCTATCTTATTCGGGCCACTTATTACAGTATATCATACATCTCTACAGTAAAATGTGGCCCGCAGCTTCCTTGATCATGACCATGGTACTGGCCTTGAAAACCGCAAGAATCGATGGCTCGATGGCTGAATGATCTTGTGGAAGGTATGGTAACGAGTCGTAACATGAAAGAACATATCTCAAACGACCAACCTAAATTCTAGATACTAGATACACAATGATATATATATATAATTATATATATATGTATGCATATTGTAATATACATATTGTAAACCCTTGTAGATTAAGTCGGAGTCGCATAGGTCCCCAGTTCATAGATACAAATGACGGACTATGACCCCCCTAAATTCATATTGTCATATCATACATCTATTTTTTCCTGGACTCCCTGATGACTAACCAGCCATTTTTTCACCTGCAAATTTCTGAGCTCACAGCCAATCTTCGATATCCTTCAATAATCCTACAAGTTTTACTGACTGGGATCTTCCTCTATGATTATCTATCGTTATGAAATCCAATCAGCCCTTGGGACTGCCTCTCTGGCTGGCTGGAACTCATAAATCTATGGTTGAACATTGATCAATTAGAAACCGACAAAACACGTTATCTCTGCTGGTTCACCCTGAAACGATGCTGAAATAACAAGCTCTTCCTTCGTCACCCAGATCACCAGGTAAAGAAACAATCACCAGATCCGCCAAAAATGATCAACGCTCCGGTGTTGCCTTTGTAAATTCCCATTTGCATTTGTCAAATTGTCAAATCAAAACATGTTAAATTTTATTTTGGGCTGGCCAGATCCCCTATTTCTTGCGATTTGCCGATGTTCCGAACGCTGAGTTAACTCCTTCCAACTTGGATGTGCATCCCACGAATCGGATCCGTGGTTTAAAAGTTTTATAATCCACATCCATATTTCATCCCATAACTATCCATACGTGGGGATATTCCAATATGATATAATATAATATAAAATATAATATAATATAATATAATAAATAATGTAAAATATAAAATATAAAATATATATAATATAATATAATATAATATAATATATAATATAGAATATAATATGATATAAAATATAATATAATATAATATATAATAAATAATATATAATACAAAATATAAAAAAATATATATATATAAAATATAATATATAATTTAAAAAAATATATAA